CTCACTTGGTAGCCCAGGCTGGCCTCGAACTCACAGAGATCCACCTGCCTCTGCCTCCCAAGTGCTGGGATTAAAGGCGTGCGCCACCACCGCCAGGCTAATCCCATTCTTTTCCCGGTCCTTCCATATCTACCCCTAAGTCCTGTGTCATCCCCTTCAAAAGAAAATTTAAAAAATATTAATTCAAAACAAAACAAAAAATTACTTTGTTTCTCTGTCTTTTCCTGCCTCTCCAACACCTCTTTAATCATCTTAGTGTCACTGGGAGCTGTGATATGTCAAGCAGTAAAACCTTTTGTCCATTCAGCTTTACATGCAAATGCTCATTACAATGAGTTGTTGGTCTGGTTCAAGGTCTCTTGCTTCTGGTACACCATCAATATTGGACCCTTACCAAAAGTCCTCTCAGATATCCTGCAGTTGCACCAAATCATCGAGATCCTGCAGCTATGATTTCACAGTACCAGTCCCTTCACATATTCTGGTAGGACATAGATGGGGTAGATGTTGGGGTGGGCCAACTTAAAGCCCTGAATGTGGGTCTGGGTGGTAGCTGATTTGGTCAGTCTGGACTGTTGGCACCGCCCTTACCTCAGCCAAGGGTTGGAACCAGCTTTTCTATGCCTGTGTTGAGGGGTGGAGCCATCTCTACTGTGCCTGGGTCATTAGGGCTAGCTCTCCCATGAGGGGTAGGGCCAGGTCTTCTGCTGCAGTAGCCAGCAAGGGTTAGAGCCAGCTTTCCTAGGGTCAGGAAATCTCCCTGGCTACATCAGGACCATGAACTCAGACATGGCCCTCAATAGCAACTTAGACTCAGAAGTCACCATGGTCCCAGGTGGCAGTGCAGACCCCTTAGATTGGCATGGTCTCAGTGGCAGCATGGCCTTCAGACACCGACATGGCCACAGTTGGTGCCCCAGATCCCACACATCTGCTTTGCCTTTTGTGGCAACACAGAGATCAACACAGACACTGGCTGTAGTAGGACCATGAACCCAGGCATGGCCTTTGGCTGCACCTCAGGCCAGATGTCACCATGGACACTGGTGGCAGCACTGACCACTCAAATCAGCCTGGCCCTGGTGGCAGCATGGCTCTCAGACATCAACATGGACTCAGGTGGCTGTATAGACCTCAGGCATCTGCTTGGCCTTCAGTGGTTACAGAAGCCATGGACATCAACTTAGACCCTAGCTGCTATAGGGCCACAAACCTAGATATAGCAATAGGCAGCAGCTTGGGAATGGATGTTTTCATGGCCCCAGGTGACAGCACAGGCTACTCAGCTAGGCATGGCCTGGTGGCAGCATGGTTCTCGAACACCAACACAGCCACAGGTGGTAGCCCAGACCCTAGGCATTCATGTGGTCTTTGGTGACAACACAAACCATGGACATCAACACAGACCCCTGTTCTGGTAAGACCACAGACATAGCATTTGGCAGCCTCCTGGCCTTGGGCATCACCATGGCCCCAGGTGGCAGTACCACACTCAGATCAGTATGCCACAGATGCAGCATGGCTCTCAGACACCAACAGGGCATCGAATAGCAGGCCAGACCCTGAGCATTGGCATGGCCTTCAGTGATAATAGGAGTAATGGACATCAACACAGACCCTAGCTGTAGTAGGGCCACTGACCCAGACATGGCTCTTTGCTGCAGTTTGGGCCTGGATGTCACCATGGCCCTGGGTGGCAAGCAGGCCACCCACATTAGTCTGTTTCTCACTGCCTTTACTTCTTCAGTCCCTCTTCTTTCCATGGTGCATGAACTCATCTGCTTCATTTTCTCTCCCATTTCTCCACCATATATTTGCTCTCTATATTGGTACTTACCCACTAAGTGCCACAAGGTGCCAAGCAGGCCTGTAGGTGTCTTCAGACAGTCTTGTCCCTAAGGACCTAGGTAGGCATGTAGGTGTCTTCCACCTGCTTGGACTGTGGGGACTAAAATGTTTATCTGTTAATAAACATTTTGGATTTTGTATACCTTGAGTGATGCCACAATGAACACAGGAGTTCAAGCATCTACTCCATCTACCAATTTATGTTCAATGGATTAATACACAGAAGTAGGAATATAGGATCATATTATACCCTGTTTAATAGTTTGGGGAAAAACTTACACCATTTTGATTAATGATTGCACCAATTTACATTCTCAACAATAGGGTACAAGGATTTGCTTTTATTCACATCTTCATCAATGGTTGTCTTCTGTTTTGTTTTGTGCTTTTTATGTAGTCATTTTAACAAGTATGTGATAGATTATCTTTTTAGTCATATTTTTATTGTTGCATTTTTGGTGCAGGAGTAAACCAAGATCTTGCAGACAAGAATGTAAAAAAAAAAAAAAAAACCACCAGCATGAGCATCACAAGATTTAGAGGCTTTGTTTTTGAAAGGAACTTGTATTTGCTTTTATGTGTTCTCATTTTGAAGCATATTTGTTTAACAGGAAGTATGTGTACTTAGTGCTGATTAGAATCTGTTGCACTGCAGAAAATTCTTGGCTTCTGTGAGTTAGTATCTCGGATGAGAAAGAACTTGGATGAAGACTGGGAATAGATACTAATGCAACCTACATCAGAGATCACTGATTATTGAATCTTGTCAGTCTTCTCAATTTAGAAGACTTGCTCTCTTTTTAGTTGTAAATGGTAAAATAAAGGTTTAGAAATTAGCCAGTAGACAAGTTATAGCTCAAGGATTAAAGCACCCCCAAATGTGATCACTTCCATCTTTTCCATGACAGATGGGCTGGCTGGTACAGCATTAGTATAGAGTGTAGCTAGAGTTTTCCTGCCTGGCCCACAGTCAGGACAAATCTCTGTCACCCGCCAGTCCCACAGCCGCTCAGACCCAACCAAGTAAATGCAGAGGCTTATATTGTTTGAACTGTTTGGCCTAATGGCTCAAGCTTCTAGCTATCTAGTTCTTACATCTTAAATTAATCCATTTCTATAAATCTGTACCTTGCCACATGGCTCATGGCTTACCAGCATCTTCACATGTTGCTTGTCATGGTGGCTGGCAGTGTCTCCCCCTCCGCCTTCCACTTCCCAGAATTCTCCTCTCTCCTTGTCCCGCCTATACTTCTTGTCTGGCCACTGGCCAATCAGTGTTTTATTTATACAGAACCATATCCACAGCATGCTTTAATCTATGTCCTATGAAAACAAGGCTCTTGTACTACTCACCATCATTAAAGGATCAGAATGTTTTGGCTTCTTTGTCAAAAATTCATAGGTGTATGGATTAATGTCAGGGTCTTCAATTTGATTCCATTGGTCCACATGTCAGATTTTATGCCAATACCAAGCTGTTTTTATTACTATAGCTCTATAGTAGAGCTTGAGGTCAGGGATCATGATGCCTCCAGAGGTTGCTTTATTATACAGGATTCTTTTAGCTATCCTCAGTTTTTTGTTTTTCCATATAAAGTTAAGTATTGCTCTTTCCAAGTCTGTGAAGAATTGTGTTGGGATTTTGATATTGCTTTTGGTGAGATTGCCATTTTTACTATGTTGATTCTACCTATCCATGAGCATGAGAGATCTTCCAATTTTCTGATATCTTCTTCAGTTTTTTTCTTCAGAGACCGTACAATGGAAAAAAGAAAGCATCTTCAACAAATGATGCTGGCATAACTGGATGTCAATGTGTACGAGGCTGCAAATAGATCCATATCTGTCACCGTGCACAAAACTTAAGTCCAAGTGGATCAAAGACCTCAATATCAATCCAGTTACTCTGAACCTGTTAGAAGAGAAAGTAGGAAGTAGTCTTGAATGCATTGGCATAGGAGATCACTTCCTAAATATAACACCAGTAGCATAGACACTGAGAGGAACAATCAATCAATGGGACCTCTTGAAACTGAGGAGCTTTTGTAGAGCAAAGGACACAGTCACCAAGACAAAGTGATAGCCTATAGAATGGGGAGTCTTTGCCCTGGAGGAGATGTGAATGGGGGTAGGCTGGGGAGAAGGCAGGCAGGTGGAGTACAGGGGAATCCATGGCTGATATGTAAAATTAAATTAAATTATAAAATAAAAAAAGGATCAGAATGTGATTTAGCCAGTGCTCTTAAGGGCACTGCCACATGTCAGAATTGGAGTGCTTGCCACAGTATTTACTTACATCACTGCTGCAAATCCCATTTGCCACCATGTTCCATTTCTAAACACTAAAAATAGGTAGAATCTATTTCACACCAAATTTATTGAGTTATTTTCAATCTATTCCTAAAACTGCCCAAATGTGAGAGAAGGTGTGGGCATGTTGGTGTGGTTTAGAATGTCTGGGCAGCAAGCCACTTAGAAAGTGGAACTCTCCTGCTCAGCCTCATCTTTGGAAGCTTAGCACTGGAGGTGAAGTAAATGGAACTCCTGTGTAAATTCCTGGCAGGAACAAAATTCCCCTCTCTGTAGTTTAGATCACTTTTAACTCAGAGAATCTATAAAAGGAATAAATGATATGCTTTACATCATGCTTGGTAGGAAAGAACTCAGATTTTTTTCCCTAGCAAATTATGAAAGGGGGGGGGGATGAAAGAAGCAGGTTTGCGGTGCCCTCTGTGTACCATCTTCCTGAATATGTGGCCCTCAATGTTTGAAATCAGCTTTATCAGAGCTTCATGTCTGTTGGAGTATATGGAGAAAATCTGGGTTTCCAAAAGAGACAAAGCCTGTTTGTTTCAGTAGACCTGTATAGGGGTAAGATAAGTGAAGTTTTACTCAGTCCTCCCCATCCTCTGCTGATTTTGGCATTTTACAAGCATATTTTGCTCACCACCTTTTATTCATGTTAGAATTTGTGAATGCTTGAGGCAAAATCTCATCCAGATGTTGTTGAATTCATTACAATTACAAAAAGGTCAAAAAGATCTTTTGATGTTCTGACAGCCTACAAAGACTTTGCCAACTTCTTTCTTTCCACTGAGAGGGAAAGAACAGCACAAAGCTCTGGTGGGTCATGGTCTTATTTCAGAACTTAGAAGTCAAGAGTATTCAAGGACTTCATCATTAGCAGGCAACCTGTGTTGACTACTAGAGGAATGAATGCCTTGTGTTTAAAAATATAAGTTTAATTGGCAAGTAAAGAAAGGAGTTCCACACGAGGTTTACATATGCTGGCAAGAGGCTCCAACAGCTAGTGTCTTAGTTTGGCATACATTCCAGATTTGGAAACTACAACAATCCTACAAGAAGGCCCACTATAAGTGTCACATATAAGATACATTTGTTTGCTTCTGTGTCTTCATGTGGTTTCCATGTGAAATAGAAGTCATACAATTGCTCGCAGCTGGGAAGTTGCAATGCAATGAGTCAAGCCATTTTACAAAGTTCTAACCCTCACTACAGGAATCTTGATTTCAAATACAGGAGAACAGAGACAAAACTGATTACATAATGTAGAGGTTACTTACTGTAAATGAAACCATGACTCTTATTTAAAACATTATTACAAATGTTAGGATTACAACAGAAAAGTTCTGAAATTAGTTACTAGAGCCGCCTAAGGCATAGACCTCTCTGTGATTTGTACAAATTGTATGGAATCAGCTCTGGATACATTAAGTTTCAGTTGTTAGAGGAGATACAGTGTGATAAGGTCTTGTCCATATAACATGGATATATGGACAAGATAGAATAGTTATGGAGTTGGAGGAAAGGCATGGTGGGGCCAGGAAGATTGCTGTCCTCAGCTTCACACACAAGTGTTTGGTGTTTGGTTTGATGAGGTTTCCCAGTATGTGCAATGCATCATTCATTTCTTGTTTTCCAGTGCTTGTGTACCCTGATGCATTACACTGAAACATTTAGAAGGCAGAGAAAATGGGTTTGGAAATTTAAAAAAATGAATACTAGGACCCTGGGGAAGAGGTTTGTAGTTCAGAGAATTGTGGAATATTTGCCATTTAGAACGCTATTATTTATGTTTTTAAAGACTGAAGAATTTTTGGACAGAGTACCCTAAAATCTTATAGAAAAACATGAAAAAGACCTGAGAAGGTAACTCTTAAGAGATACATAAAACTACCTTTTACCCATGTTAAACATTATTTATTTATTTATTTATTTATTTATTTATTTATTTATTTATTCATTCATTCATTCATTCATTTTATGTGGGCAAAGTGCCACGCTTTGCATGTAGAAGAGGAAACCTTGCAGGGCTTCTCCATCTACCATGTGAGTTCTGAGTATCAAACTCAGATTATCAATCTAGATAGTAAGTTCTTTCACTATTTGGAGCCAGTGATATGGGTTAGTGGATTAAAGTGCCTGCCTCCAAGAATGACAACTTGAATCCTTTTCTGGGACCCACATGATAAAGGGAGAGAACTGACTACTACAAGTTGTTCTCTGATGTCCATTTATGCTGTATGCTGTGTGTGTCCCTATACACAAATTGTATGCACACAAAATAAATAAAAATGAAATAAGATTGTTTAATATCACTAAGCTAAGTAAAACAGACTGAATATATGTATTTCCCTAAATTTATACATTGGAATTCTGAAAGGTAAGTTGGTTATATTAGAAGGTGAACCTATTGTGAGGATTTTGAATGGGGATGGTAAATCTCTTATGAGTGATTTAGTATCTGAGTGCTTTAGTGAATTCGCACCTCTATAAAATATGGTACACAGTAATCTCTCTCCCCTTCTGGCATGTGAGAATACTGTGAAAAGTGCTATCTTTAAGACAGGGGACAACAGATCTGTCAGTGATTTGGTCTCAGATGAGACAGCCTTTCAAACTATGAGAAATAATTTCTGTTGTATACCTGCCACCTAGTTTATGATTTTGTTATAGCAGCCCAAGAAGGCTAAAAGAAAATGATTTTTAAAATTAATTTAGAATTAAAATGCAAATTTAAAAACCTATCTCAAGGAAGAGAAATTGACTTAAAATTTACAGAATTTAGAATTGGGTAAGAACATTAAAATGCTGTAACTGCATTTCACATGTTAGAGTTTAGTAGGATTGTGGAACATAAGAAGTGTACCCAACATGTATTTATGGAAATGAAAGCCTCAGGGTCTATCTGTCTATAATTATAAATGAAATATGTGGGATTAATAATAAATTATATAGAACAGGTTTGTACTTGATGCTGTAGCAGAAGAGCCATATACAATGAAACAGAGTATGGTGGTGGCTCACTCTGATGAGGCAGAGGTTTAACACAGGAATTCAGGGTTGGCTTAACATTTGAAAAGCAGTAAATGTAAACAAACACTCCTTAAAAAGATTTTTATCAAGCTAAGAATACAAAGAGACTTTTTCAGTCAGACAAAACAAAAGG